TCCAGATGTTATTTTCTGAAGTCCAATCATCTACTTTGAGCAGAAGTTCAGTATATAATTTTGCTATGACATCTATTGCACAAATTGGTTTGCAATTAGAGGATTTATATTTGTCCCGTTTTGATATAGGGGCCCATTATCCATAAAAAATGGTTAATTAAAGTTACCTATCAAGTTATCTGCTTCAGGGGTGTAACTGGAGGCTATGGGTTGGCATTTGTAAGTACACTAGGCATAAACACAGGAGACATCAATTCTCTTCAAATCATAGAACATATCTCCCCCACCCCAAAGTTTTACTTCTCACACAAATTACTTCAAGCTTGTTAGCAGCAAATAGAAAGACAAAAACCCAGGTACATAGTATAAAAAAGCATCAGACACTAAAATCACCTGTATGTGAATAATATTTAGGATAACATGCATGATGATAAAAGAGAATCAGTGTAGTGATTAGGGCATAAGGCTGAAAACTGGGAGACTGTGAGTTCCAGGAAAAACTCTAAAAAGGCTCTGATACACAGGATTCTGATTGTTATGAAGGTCCCTTCCAACAATCATTCTCAGACTTACTCTATGTTTTCGGAAACATATGAACCAAAACATAGATAGGGGATTTCAGGTAGAGGAAGAATGTATCTGATTGTAAAAAATTCTCTTTTTGATTCCAAGGAAAAGACCAAAAATGAAGAAGAGCTGCAGCCTCTTTCCAGGTTGCTGCAGTTCATCTACTGCATTGGGGAAGGCCACTCAAAGACTTGGGAAATGTGGGCAGAGAGAATTCAGAAACCTAAAACGTAGCTTACTCAAGTGCTACCACCTATTTGTACAAATTTTAAAATCATTACTCATTAGTTGGGAACCAGTGTAATAGTTAAGGTATTGACTGGAAACTGGGAGACCCTAAGGTCCATCTTTGGCATGAAGCTATCTTGGTGACTTTGGGCCAGTCAATCTCTCAGTCTGATTAAGGACATAAGGGCAAACCACTTCTGAAATTTTGCCAAGAAAACTGAATAACAGAACTGGAAGGGACCTAGTCCAACCCCCTGCTCAGGTAGGAAACTATATACCATTTCAGACAAATGTTGTCCAATTTCTTCTTTAAAACTTCCAGTGTTGGGGCATTCACAATTTCTGGAGGCAAATTGTTCCACTGATTGTTCTAGCAGTCAGAAAGTTCCTCCTTAGTTCTAAGTTGCTTCTCCCTTTTATTAGTTTCCACCCATTGCTTCTTGTGCTGCCCTCAGGTGCTTTGGAGAATAGCTTGACTCTCTCTTCTTTGTGGCAGCCCCTGAGATATTGGAACACTGCTATCTCTCCCCTAGTCCTTCTTTTCATTAAACTAGACATACCCAATTCCAGCAACTGTTCTTTATATGTTCTTTATATGTTTAAGCCTGCAGTCCCCTAATCAACTGCAGGGAGTTGTCCAGGCAGTCATAAAAAATCAAGACTACTTTGAAAGCTCCCTCTCCCCCTCTCTCTCCCTCCTTCCCCTCTCTCTTACACACACACACACTGCACAATGACAATATATATATAAAACTAGAAACCTAACCTCATCACAACTCAAGTAGACCATAGAAGGCAGTTATGATTGGTTCCAATATGACTCTTTGCCACAGATCACAAGGGCCTCTGTGCCTTAATTGTTAGGCCTGAGAGTTGCCAACTGTGAGGACAATGCAAAACAGAACTCCTATAGCTCTTTAAATCTAAATTAAAGTAAGGTCAAACAAAGGAACAGAAAACATATAGACTAAACCTCACAGTTAAAAATTATGATCTTTTATAGTAGCAAGAAAGTAAAAACACTGAAAAGCAAAGGCAAAGGTGGCCAGTTGGCATCAAACTAAACCAAGAAGAAACAACTACTGAATCGATAACAGAGTTATATCCCCAAATCTCTATCATGGTTACCTGGAATTTGAACAAGTCTTATTTCATAAGGAGAGATTAGGTCTGAGGCAAGCAGGAAATATTTTCTTGTTTGGCAACAAGTGTCAACTTAGCATCAAGTAACTAAGATCAAGAATTTCCTCAGGATGAAGTAGCAGAGTTTGATGGTTGTTACTCTAGTTGAGTTGACTTCTCAGGTTTATTCAATAACTCTAGTTACAGGGATTTTTATAAACATTGTTGAATAGCGGGGAAAGGGTCAAAATCCTCTCCAGCTCAAGTTCTGTCTCTAGTCTGCCTCAAGACATCCTCTTTAAATTCCAAGTCTACATTCACTGTATGTCCTTCAGTAAATAAACTGTTGTTTCTCATGATTACCTAGATTATCAAGGTAATTGATCTGTTATGCATCACTGTCAGCTACTGTAGTTTTTTTGTTTTGTTTCATTTTGTTTGCTTCCTGCAAAGTATTGGTTCCCAGTTATAGACTATCTCTAAACATGGAGACCCATTTTACTGTCACATCTTCTCGTAGTTTATAATATAACTTAACTTCCTCCATTAATTTGATCATCTTTTAAAGCCTGGAGCTCCTGGGGCTTTCCTTTCATCTCTCTCCTTCCCACACAAATTAAAACAAAGTATGTTCAGTCTGAACTCATCTTTATACACTTCCTTCTTTAGAGAAGTTTGTCTTTTTCTTCTTTATCTTCTTTGACCATCCCCCACTCCAAGTGTCCAATAATATTAAATTAATCTTTATTAAGCAGAGTTCAGAGTTGTTGTTTCTCTTAACCTTTTATCAAATAAAGTCAACATTATTTCCAAGGTCTAAAATCCATCAGCATGTCTTTTTAGACTTGAATTATTCTGGAAATTTTCCTTCCAAGCCTTTTCTCTTTAAAATCCAATATCCCAGTCCTTTAATAAATTATTTTTTTGCTTTTACATTCTACAGTTCCTTGAGTATCTCATTCACTGCATTTTATTAACTGCTCATCAGGAAGTAAACTGATTTCATATGTGGTTTGGAGGAAAGCCTTGGTTTGAAGTCATCCTTAATATAGCAGGCTTCTTACTAAGCAGCAAAATCCAAAGTTTGATAGTTTCATATTAATTGTCTATCATGTAATTGCAGGGATTAAGAAAATATTTTTAATAACCTAAAAGTATGAAGTTGGAGCAAAACAATCTGTACCAACCTCTCCTGCAAAAGCAGAAATTTATGTGTTTATTTATTTACTTTATTTACTGTCCTTTTTACTTACTTTAATTTTAATTAATTAAATTTTATTTATTGTCACTTTGCATGTATACTGAGAACTTCCACACCAGAGACAAATTTGTTGTATGTCTAATCACATTTGGCAGAATAAATCCTATTCTATTCTATTCTATTCTATTCTATTCTATTCTATTCTATTCTATTCTATTCTATTCCATTCCATTCCATTCCATTCCATTCCATTCCATTCCATTCCATTCCATTCCATTCTGCCTACAGTTTGGCAGTTCAGGTCTCACTCAAGGTTGATTCAGCCTTCCATCCTTCTGAGGTTGGTAAAATATGGACCCATATTGTTGGAGGCAATATGCTGACTCTGTAAACCGCGTAGAGAGGGCTGTAAAGCACTGTGAAGTGGTATATAAGTCTAAGTGCTATTGCTATTCTCCACCATTCTGTCAGAACTGAAGAAGCTTCTTGGATGAGAATCAAAACATCTTCAAGGAAAAACAAAGTCCAGTTGCCTTTTGAAAAAGCACCTTTAGTACAAACTGAATCTAATAATCGCATATTGCATATCCCTAGTTGTTTGGGTAAAGCTTAAGTAGGTTTAACACTTAACATTTTAGTTTTAAATGCTTTCTGCAGAACAGTAATAAACATTCACCACTGAATTTTCTCTACATATTTCTCTAGAGTATAAAAAATATTGGGGGGGGGGAGGAGAGAAGGATAGGAATATCTCATCCAAAAGAGGAACCTTGAAAAGGATATAGGGAAGCAGTTCAGCAAGTTCTTCTAGTTCTCAATCTTTTTCTAAATACTGTTTAGTGCTGAGATGTTTATTTTGATCATCTTGGTTTAGCAATAATGAGCAAAGTGTTGGAAAGACACCTTGTGGAGATGGTTGAATAATAATACGAATAGCTGCTGGGCTTATATTCTGAGCGTGCAAAAAATACACAATTGCTGACCGTCCACTAAAATACAGTTAGCCCTCGACTTACAACAATTCTTTTAGTGAACATTTGAAGTTACAATGGCACTGAAAAAAAGTGACTTATTATCATTTTTCACACTTACAACCATTGTAGCATTTCCATTGTCAGAGGACAAGAATGTGGGCACTAGGGCAATTGACTCATATTTATGACACTTACAGTGTCCCGGGTCATGTGATCAAAGTCAAGGTGGAAGGCAGATTTGTGACTAAATTTGTGACTAACATAACAACTGCAGTGATTCACTTAACAACCATGGCAAAAAAAGGTCATAAAATGGGGCAAAACTCACTTAACGAATGTCTCGCTTAGCAACAGAAATTTTGACACAATGGCAGAGAACTGGAGCAAAGTCATGGGTATGTTCCCAGTACCCATTTTTCCCCAAGGTAGACTGCCACAAAATAGGATGTTTTAATCAAAAAAACACGTATCTTTTGTGCAATCAAACTCGGGAAGAGAGGCGGCGCTGAGGCTGAGCGGCTTTGCAGCCGAGCGGTCCGACGTCCACCCGGTCGGAACAACCTGCTTGATTTTTAGGCGGTGCGATTGCGGGTGGGGGGGGGGGGAAGGGAGGCATTTAAACCGGAGCCACTGAAATCGGGGTGGCGTCCCTCTCCGGGCTAGCCGAAAGCTAAGAAATAGCTTGGGGAAGAGTTGAAAGGTGACAGCGAGGGTGGCCGGGACTTGCAGCCCAATTTGGTCTCTGGTTCCTGGGCTCTCGTCAAGGACCGAGTCCCGTTTTCCCAAAGGACGCCTCTCATTAGCATGGGGGCGGGGGCGGCTGACGGAGAGGGCCAAAACTGAGAGAGAGAGAGAGAGAGTGGGGAGAGGGAGAAAAAGAGAGAAAGGGAGAAAGAAAAGAGGGAAAGAGGGAAAGGAGAGAGAGAGAGTGGAAGAAAGGGAAAGAGAGGGAGACAGAGAGAGAGGGCGGGACAGGGAGAGACACGCACACACAGAGGAGAAGGAGGGCAAGAGAGAGGTGGAGAGAGAGAGAAAAAAAGAAACGGGGAGAAATTAAGGAGAGATAGAGGAAGGGAAAGAGAGAGACACAGAGAGAGATTGGTTGACTGCCTCTCCTTTGCAATGACACCCGAAGCTGCCTGGCTCCTGTGCTTCGCCATGGCCTCCTCCTCTTCCTCCTCCTCGCTCCTCTCCTCCGGGGTAGCAGGTAAGTCTGCCCCAGGCTCAGGTGGGACGGAGAGGTCGAGCCGAGGCAGCCCCTCCCCTCCCGCCCCGCCGCCAAATTTGCCCTCAGAGGCGCCGCCGCCTTTTCTCCGGGCTGGGGCAGCGCTTCTCTTCAGAGCCCCCGAGAAGGGCTGCTGGGCTCCTCCGCCCTCTGGACGCTTTGCCCGAGGACGAAAGAGCGGCGGGTTGACGGACGGGCGAACGCGGGTTTCTTCCTTTCTTTTTGTCCCCCTCGTCGCTTCCACCCTCTCCCCAAAAGCTGCTTCCCGTCCTTGCCTCATGCAGCTTCGAAACCTCGTATTTTCCTTGGAGGGTGAGGGTGGGGTGTCTTTCCCGGAGTTGTTCCCGCACACACACACACCACGAGCGCGTTTTCGGGGTGCGCTCGGCTAGCGGAGGGCTGATCCTCGGGAAACCCGGGTGGGTTGCAAAAGGTCGGGAGGCGGCAGGTGGGGACGAGAAAAAAACGGGCAGGATGAGGTTAGGCGCCCCTTCTTCCGTTCCCTGGGACGGGAGTCCCTTCGGATGAGAAGGAGGATCTGGATTGGGAACGCGGGGGGGGGGGGAAGGACGACGACGACAGAACTTGATTTTCCCTGCAGTAAATGGGAGAAAAAGAAGGAAATTCCAAAAAAAAAATTTTTTTTTCTTTTCTTTTGGAGACTGCCTGGACAAGTCCCTGAAGTTTCCTTAGTGAGGTTTTTCGGTAGCAGTTTGCCATTGCCTCCTTCCTAGGGCTGAGAGAAAGTGGCTGGCGCAAAGTCACCCAGCTGTTTTACTGCCTAAAGGGGACTAGAACTCACTGTCCCTCTGGTTTCTAGTCTGGTGTCTTAACTGCTGTCAAAAGGAACATTTTTTCCTTTTAGTTGTTCTGTAGAAGGGAAGAGAGTGGAAGAGGCAGGTCGTATCCCTCTGCGAGGGAGACCAGTGGTTCTTAAATATGATAATGAATAAAAAAACCTGAATAAACAAAATTCTACATTACATTACTGCTGTGTAAATTGATGTGACTTTTGAAAAAAAAAATGGTGAAGTTCTGTTGTGAAAGAGGGTGGAGGGTAATATTAATCTCTCCTGCATTTGATGAAAGTTGCAATCCTGGGCAATGCCAGACTGAACTCTATTGAATTTGACTAGGCCTGTTTCTGAATAAACATGCCCTGAACTCAGATGCCAGTCACTTAAATTCATTTTGTGACATTATTCTTAACCACCCAGATTCCTGACCCCCTCCATTTAATAATAAACTAAGCAATCCTGCGCGAGCTGCACTGGCTCCCGGTGGTCTTCCGTGTGCGCTTCAAGGTTTTGGTTACCACCTTTAGAGCGCTCCATGGCTTAGGACCTGGTTATCTACAGGACCGCCTGCTGCCACCAGTAGCCTCCTACCGGCCGATACGCTCTCATAGAGAGGGGCTCCTCTGGGTGCCATTGGCCAAACAATGTCGACTGGCGGCCCCCAGGGGGAGAGCCTTCTCTGTGGGGGCACCTACTATCCGGAGATACGGAGGATCCCGGATCTGCGCACCTTCCGCCTCGCTCTCAAGACCTTTTTATTCCATCAGGCTGGCCTGGCCTAACTTTCCCTTTTTCCCTTTTAAAATGTAAATTTTAATCCGTTCTTAATTATTGGGGTGTTTTAAATCTGTCTTGGGCCAAATTGTTTAATTCGGTTTTATTTTGCTTTTAAATTTTGTATTTATGTGTTTTATCTTGTGGCTGTTCACCGCCCTGAGTCCTTCGGGAGTAGGGCGGTATATAAATCAAATAAAACCAAAAACCAAAACCAATGATTTAAGCAACCTTGGTTAATCTAAAACAGTGTTAATCAGGCTATATTTTTTTTCTCTCTTGCCCAGAAGTAATTAACTAAAACAAATTAGGCAGTGAGTAGGTAATTAATTATCCATGAAATATCTGGGGGTATTTTTATTATTCTACTCCTTTATTCTGGCTTTTTCCCAACCATTTCATTACATGACTCATTTTTTTCTTTGTCAACCATCCAGCAATCTAAATTAAGTTGAAGGTTTGTGTCTGGTGGCTGAACTGTACCTTAAACCCAGAAATCTCCTAATTTCTATGTCCTAAATCTTACAGAACATTGCTTGATTTTTTTTCAGTCCAGCTGTGTATTTCATGAAAGTCAACCAACCCTGTGAGAGAAACTCATGCTGTTCTGATTGTTTCTGATTCATACACCACAACACGCTTTGCAGACATAAAATATAAACTAATACATCTTGTGCTATAAATGGGGCAACGGATAGTGCATACATAAGAACCTTCTCTTACACAATATTAACATAAATAAATCAGTATTTGATGAAAACCTAATCTTTCATCTCTCCCTTCAAATTTGGTGATCACAGCCATCATCTCAGGCACAGCAGAAATGAAGGGCTTAGTTGATCAAAGCAGAATAATGTTGATCGGGTGGAGAGATGAACAGAAAGGAACATGTTGAGGTGGAAAAGCTGCCTGCAGCACTGAACTTTCCACATCTTCACATTAATCTTCCTTCACTTCATGGCAATGTTCTGCTTTCACAGGCGAGACCGGGCAATCTTTGTTCACACCAGCTGTTCTCATGGGAAAGAGACAAATACACGATGAAGTCAACAGACAGGAGACTTGGGAAGTGAACTTGAACCAACCATCAGAATCAGCCATAGGAACCCCGAACCAACCATGTAAGGTTTGTTTGTGTATATGTTTATATATATTTTTAGAATCAAAAATTCTATTTGCTGACAAACGGCATCCCAGGTGGGAAAGAAAAGTTGGAATGACTACAGTGAGGCAACCATCATTTGTTCTTCTGCCTGGGAAAATCTCAGCTTCAATATACTGAACCACTTGGTTAAATAAATTGATGTGTACAAAATGAAACTGGTAGTCATAATAATAATTTTTTGCTTTGTCAACCATATTTTATGATTGCCCTCTTTCCCATGCTTGTTGCAAATAAATAAGGTAGTTTGCTACAACAAGGATTTTTTTTTTAAAAAAAATCCCAAATTGAAGAAGTTTGTAAGTCATCTAATTTGCTTAGGATAGCTATGTGAAAGTAGACAAATTTCAAGACATTAATTTAAATTTTATTTACAAATTAAATAGGAAAAAATAAACCTATGGATGGTAGTTTTAGAAACTGAGAATCTTGCTGCATATTCCATAAATTCAAGTTCATTAGCGGTGCAGTCTTAAACATTCTTGCTTTAGATGTCAGACCCGTAAATATGCCATCTGAATAAACATGATCCAAGGTAGATCCAAGGTCTTTTGGAGAGTATTTGAACAACTGTTTTTGCCTTTAAGTCTAAATAATTATCCATCACCCATGCGAAGCTGGTGACAGGCCTTAAATAACGCAAATGACATTGTCAACAAACCTCCACAAAGCTTCCCATGGATGGGAAAATTAAACATCATGTTTGTCAGATACATTTAAACAATGAGACCAGGATATGATGTGAACTTTGCTCCCCGGATGCTCCCTGGACATCCAGTTTTCTTTTTTTAGAAACAATTTTGTTTATAAATTGTGTTTTTAATTTGTAACACAAACAGGGAAAAAATGTTAGATCTTCATGCTCCTGTGTGACCACTGCAGGGCTGCCTCCCTCCCTCTTTTAAATAAACTTTGTGCAAATGAAGCCTTAGCTGAAAGATGCCAGAACATTCCTTGTGGTACACCTTTAACGTTTGGCATATCTAGGAGGGCAACTCCCAGATCTGTGCTTGCTCTACATCAGGGATGTCAAACTCAAGGCCCGCGGGCCAGATCCAGCCAGCGGGCTGCTTAGATCTGGCCCACAGGGCCACCCTGGAAACAGCGAATGACCGGCCTGTGGTGCCTCTGCCAGCCATAACGGAGCTTGGGAGGCTGTGATGGCCTCCTGCAACCCTCTGCCAGTGAAAATGGAGCTCGGGTGGGCCCTGTTTTTGCTGGCAGAGGGTTGCAGGAGGCCATCGCAGCCTCCTGAGCTCCGTTTTCGCTGGCAGAGTGCTTGGGCCACCACAGGCACCCCCGACACAAGTGATGTCAAGCTGGCCACGCCCATCTGGCCCCCAAGGCCAAACACAACCCTGATGCGGCCCTCAATGTAATTGAGTTTGACACCCCTGCTCTACAACTGTAGATGTAGATTTCCTCAAGGAAATCTGCCCTCCATATTTGTTGCACAACTCTCAATCCTCCCAGACAGGAATGATCAAGGTGGCCGATGAGACTGTATGTTGTTTACTGGAGTATTGTCTTTTGCAGTTCTTTGGTTCTGAGATTTCACTCTGACATTAATGGCTAAGACTAAGAATGGTTTTGGAAATGTAGCAATGTCACAAAGTCAAGCCAGCCCCAGCCGTTGTTGAGAGGTTGCTACAGTGCGTGACCACTCAGAACGGCTATTTCAAGTATCTCAATGTGCTGTGCAAGGAAGACAAAGGAGAGGCAGGATAGGAAAGGGCCAATTCTGGCAAATACCGGACCATCCAGATAGTTCAGAAGCACAAAAGCCACACAATACTTACTTTGTGTAAATATATTGCCTGTCCCAATTCAAAGGCTTTGCAATTAGTAAATAAAAGGACAAGTGATTCGCACATTTAAAATCCTGCACCCATTGCTCCCTTGTCCAACCCACTTTCCACAAACATAGCCTTTACTTCCAAAGTTTCTTACTAAGATTGTCTTTCCAAGGAAGAGTTCATTGGGGAAGGCCCATAATTTTGGTGTGCTTTCAGAACTCACATGACAGACCATTGTTCTCATCACATCTCATCTCATCTCAGAAAGCACCAAGGACCCCTCAGTGTTCCCATCCTTTAAAAATCTCTCTTTTGCTCTTGTGTGTGTGTGTGTATGTATGTATGTGTGTGTGTGTTTTGGAATACAGGGATATTACTCCATGCTGGAAAATCAATGAAGACATTCAACAAGGATGTTTATGGGTCTGGGGGTGCCACTCCTTCCCAGAACAAGTCTCTCCGAGGTAGCAGCATTAGCTACATTGAGACAGCTGAGCACACGAAGGACCAGTTCTTACCTCGAGATGAGTGGAATCCTTTGGAAGTGAAAGCATTAAACACACTCCAGCTACTCTTGGATAGAAGGAAAAATGTGAAAAAATCAGTGGAGAATCAGACAGGCTTAAGGAAGCAGTCCTTTCAGGATGTCAAAGGCCTTCCTTCCCTTAGTCATGAAGAGGCATCTCTCTCTACCACTTATTTGAGTCAAAGGAACCAAATCAGCAGAAACCGGCTCCTCTTGGACTCTGCCAACAGCATTTCTACTTACTTCCATCCACCTGGATATCCCCACTGCCAAGGCAGACTTCTAGCGGAAGCATCTATGTTGAAAAACACGGGGTCAAATGTTGGTCAACACTCTGGTGACTTGAATCACTTCAACCGGCCTGGGAAGAAAAACCCTTACCACAAATTCCATGGTTTTTTCCGAAATATCACTAAACCCTATTGGTTCACAAACCGACAGACTCCGAGTTTACTGAAAGACTTCAGCACCTTTAAGATTGGTAAGCAATTTGATGGCACGTAATCAATCAAAAATGCATAGGTAGTCCTCAATTTACAACAGTTCCTTTAGTGACTGTTCAAAGTTACAACGTCACTGAATAAAGTGACTTATGACTATTTTTCTCAGTTATGACCTTTGCAGCATCTGTGGTCATGTGCTCAACAATCGGATGCTTGGCAATTGATTCGTATTTATGATGGTTGCTGTGTCCCAGGGGTCATGTGATCACGGTTTGTGACCTTCTGACAAGTAAAGTCAATGGGGAAGCCAGATTCACTTAACAAACAGGTTATTAATTTAATTACTTCAGTGATTCACTTAACAACTGTGGTAAGGAAGGTTGTAAAATGGGACAAAACTCACTTTTTTTTTAAAAAAAAAAATTGATTTATATGCCGCCCTTCTCCGGAGACTCAGGGCGGCTTACAATGCGCTAAGCAATAGCCTTCATCCTTTTGTATATTTATACAAAGTCATTTTATTGCCCCCACAATCTGGGTCCTCATTTCACCTACCTTTGAAAGGATGGAAGGCTGAGTCAACCTTGAGCCTGGCGAGATTCGAACCTGCAGTAATTGCAGGCAGCTGGTCTTAATAACAGGGTGCTTTAGACCACTGTACTACCAAAGCTCTTAACAAATGTCTCACTTGACAACAGAAATTTTGGGCTCAATTGTGGTTGTAAGATGAGACCACCAGTATTCCAGATCCTTCAGCACTGCATATTTATATATTTATAATTTTAAACTTTTGCACTCAACAAATTACTTTTATATTTTTTCTATTTAAAAACAATGTTTTTTCCCCCTCTTTATCACCTGTGAGATTGGGTTACCTCCTGGAGGGAAGGGGAGAAGCCGGGATAGTTCTGGTCACAAACTCAGATGATATACAGCCAAGAAGCAGTGCTGTAGCAAAACTATTTAATTTGTACCCTTTTAAATCATTAGAAAATCAGCACAGTTTGAGTACCCTCTACATACTGGATGTTAGGAGGGAACCTGCTGGGAAGCTGACACGTTAAGCATTCCCATGGAAGATAGGAGTAGTGCCAGGAATTACAGAACTGCTATCCCAGGACAGAAAGCAAGATTAAATTGTGAAGATCCTGAAGGTTTTTGGGAGAGGACTCTTGAGATCTTCACCTACCATCCAAGAACTCAGCTTTGCTCACTATGGTAATTGGGCAAGAGGAATACTTGTAGGCAATTATTTGATCATTAGCATTGAGACAGTATCAATCACAGTGGTTTTAGATCAAACTGACTAGGTGGCTCAGTGGCTAAGACACTGATCTTGTCAATCAGAAAGGTCAACAGTTCAAATCCCTAGTACAGGTCTCCTGCTTGGGCAGGGGGTTGGACTAGATGACCTTGGAAAGGTCCTTTCCAACTCTGTTACTATTTGAATGTTTTCTGATCTGAAAACCAATTGCAAATTTTAATCATCTGTCAACCTCCTATCAGAGTTTCCCTAAAATACTTGATTTTAGGGACTTTTGACTCAGAAATAAGAGGCATACAATAGTCTTTGACTTGCAAACATAATCGATCTTGGAATTTCCATTGTAAGCCATGATGGTTTTAAGTTAAGGCACCCACATGATCAGACTCAATTTTATGACTTTTTTTGTAGCGGTCATTAATCAATATATTCTTATGGACATTTTTCTGGAGACAACTGGTTAAAAAGGCCAGAAATCAACAGAAAAGGTAAATCATAGTCATGTGATCATGGAACATTGCAACAGACCATAAAGGTGAGCCAGCTGCCAAGAGCATGAAATGTGGTCATGTGACCACGGGGGTGGGCATACAGCCATGGGAATTCCAGAATCAGATTGTAAATACTTTTAGGGGGGATTCCATCGTAAATTCGATTGCTAAGCGACTGGTCATTAACTAAGGATTACTTTTGTAAGTTGCAGCTCTCTGATAAGCTAACACAGTGATGGCGAACTTTTTAGACACTGAGTGCCAAACTGCGTATGTCCAAACTGAAAGGTGCATGTGCAGCAGAGACCCAAAGACCAGCTGTCCGGCGGGAGGCAGGGCATCCCAACACCGGCAGCGCGTCAAGAGGTAAGTTCTTTTTCTTTCGTGAGCTTCTGTTTTGTAGTTTACAGGGAAACAGAAGCTCATGAAAGAAACGCCATGGAGATCTGATCTGGGGCGACGGAGTGCGTGCCAGCAGAGAGGGCTCTGTGTGCCACATCTGGCACGCGTGCCATAGATTTGCCATCACGGAGCTAAGGTATAGCTATTTTATACTAGAAGCTTGATGATCTCTGAAACATATTAGAAGTAATTAAGAGTCGTCAAAGATCAGTTTATCCATGTATATGAGCCGAGATGGCGCAGTGGTTAGAGTGCAGTACTGCAGCTACTTCAGCTGACTGCTAGTTCAGCAGATCAGCGGATCAAATCTCACCGGCTCAAGGTTGACTCAGCCTTCCATCCTTCCGAGGTGGGTAAAATGAGGACCCAGATTGTTGGGGGCCATATGCTATTTAGTATACTGTCTTTGGTGTAAGCTGCCCAGAGTCCTCGGAGAGTGGGCGGCATAGAAATATGACAAATAAATAAATAAATAAATATTTCATTGCTTGATTATTGTAATTATTAACATGGATCCTTCTCTATTCGCATTCCTCCATACTCATTTCTGTTCATTTTGATTTTTTTATAGATGTTGACAATCTAGAAGTATGTTTGACTGGTTGCAAGAGGGAACGTGAGGAACTAGAGGCTTACTGTAGCAGTGAATTTGGTAAGATCACCCTGTTAACTGGTGGGCATAGTTTATGCACTCATGTTACTTGTAAATATAATTTCTTTTCCAAGCGTTTTCCGCAATTGTTTCATAGAACTACCAAATAAAATTATCTCAGTGGGCCAGAGAGAAGCATTTCTTCCCTTCCCTTCAAAATCGGGGATAGAGATAACATCCAATTTAACTGTACTAGTGTTTTAGACTGCTATTAAATTCAGATTAAATGCTTCAGGCTTCCTATTGCTAGCATAGCTTTATTGTGAACCAGAATCAAAATATACATGAGAAAACTAGGAAGAAGCATCAATACACTTTACAGTGTTAAAATATCTTGTCTGTTGGAGCATGCTCTTAACCAAATGCTGAGGACATTTCCACATTCTCACAGTACTTAATGCAGTGGTGGGGTGCAACCAGTTTAACAACTGGTTCTGTGACCATGCCTTTTGCGCATGCACGCGCCTAATGCGCTTGTGAGCAGCATTCAAAATACAGCAATTTGAAGCTCAGCTGCTTATCTTCTAAGGCAGCCGTGATAAGTAGAACAGCGGAGGCATGGAAATCAGCTGTGCCATGTGAATCAGCTGAGCCAGAAAGAAGGAAATATAGGATAGGACGGGGGCCAGTGGGTGGGGCCAGTTGATGGTCGGAACTACCGGTTTGCTAGAACGGGTCCAAACTGGCAGCAGCCCACCACTGACTTAATGGCATTTTAACAATATTGAATGCACACTGAAAGCGATTTATATAGTGCAATGCTTTTTTAGAAACAGCCTTCCTTCATTGTAAAATTAAGGGCAGCATCCCACTTAATTTTCCACTCTTTTCTTTATAAAAAGTGGTGAATGGAATTGTTCATGATATTGCCATGATATACAAAGGAACGTATTTGGTGACCATGCTAGTGAACAACAATGGACTCTACAAGACAAATCGGCTGTTCCTGAACCCTGATGGCTACTTCTTTCGAGCTCAAATGCTTGTTGTGGATGCCCTGAATTGTAGCAAACACTGTCCAGACTTTCAACTCGGTAAATAAAGAAAGCCTTTTCTCCTAATCTCTATCATTCTCCCCCCTCCCTCCCTCTCTCTTTCCTATCTCTACATCTATCATCTATCCATCCATCTCCCCTCTCTCTCTTTTCTCTCTCTCTCTCTCTCTCTCAACAGATCTATCTATCTATCTATCTATCTATCTATCTATCTATCTATCTATCTATCTATCTATCATCTGTCTGTCTATCTTTCTAACTATCATCTATCATCATCTATCTTTATCATCTATCATCTATATCTATCTATCATTTCCTATCATCCATTTAATCTAGCATCTCTCTGTCTGTCTCTCCCTATTTATCTTGTATGCCACCCAACTCTCAATGTCTCTTTAGAAGCTCTGTAAAGGTCAAGTACAAGAGGCCAAGCATATCACCAAGGGCAATGTATAGTATTCCACATAGTAAGTACCACAACTGGGAAGGCCTTTTCTGTAATTCTCATCCCCCTTAAATCACATTGAATTGGGAACTTAAGCACTTGTTCTCTAGATCAGTGTTTCTCAACCTTCACAACTTAAGGATATATGGACTTCAATTGCCCAAACTCCCCAGCCAAACAATCTTCCCAAGTCTGACACAACCTAGCTCAGGGCCCATCAGGAAGAATGGGAGGGCAGGAGGAAGGAAGGAAGGAAGGAAGGAAGGAAGGAAGGAAGGAAGGAAGGAAGGAAGGAAGGAAGGAAAGAAAGAAAGAAGGAAAGAAGGAAAGAAGGAAAGAAGGAAGGAAGGATCATTAGAATATGCAGTGTCTACATGCAACTGGTCAGTAAACAGACAAATCCTTCTTTTCTTGTAGGCTTGTCATGTAAGAAACAATGCAAAAGGAAAAGAGGATGGAGGTTGAGGGGGGAAAACATCCTTGTTATTCATGAATCTGGGTCAAAGAAGAACAAATAAACTGCTCTTCTCTTCTATTTCTGTTCTACTGCAAGCCTTAACATCTTTAATTGGTAGCAAGTAAGGGAAAGGGACTCTCAGAGATGCACCGAAACCAAACTAGACTCAGTGGCAGAGAGGTACAATAAATCTTTCTAGAAACTGTCCAAAAAAGGGCTACAATCAAGATAGCCAACTCTCCTTCATCCAATGGAATCTGCTGCATTCGGAGTATACTAACAAGCCGTGTAATTAATGGGAAATGACAGGCCTAGTATGGAGATGAAGTCCCTTATGGAAATGTCCCATTGTCCTCAGTTATTATGCAGATTATGCAGCCTGGTTTTATAATATGGCCCCGAGAAGTTCAGAATGAAGAGTTATGCTGTTTAACTTAGTTCCTACCGTTAGGATTGAAGGAGGAAAATGTTGCAGAGAGAGAGATTGGAGGATATTACTTCCTACGGGCAAGAGCCTTAAATCGGAAATGGGTGACCTTATTCTCCTTGGAGATAATCATGTTCCAGAGACGCTTCTGAGATGTAGCTTTTCTTATTTTGCAGGTGGCAGGTACATTGTGATGGGTCACCTCTATCACCGAAGAAGGCAACTGCCTACGGTTCTGCAAGAGCATGTGAGAGGCCGTCTGCGGCCCGGAGATGGGCTGCTTTGCAGAGGCAACAGCTACATGAAGAGGTTCAACAGACAACGGGATCAAAAGGTTCAAGGGGCAGCTCGGTCCAAGTGTGGATGAGAAGGCAACTCAGCCATCACTTTCTTTGGCTCTGAAAGGAGTTTTAGAGTAACAGGTGGATAAAAAATGTTCTCTGGTTTTGCTACAGGCCGATAACACGTTTGGTCTGAAAAATCACTTGCTTTTGCTATTAAAAGAAGGAACTGGAGCCTGCTTCAGCCTCTTAATTTTGTCACCCAATTATCAAGGCATGATATTTACTCCCTGTAATTAATCTCTATTAACTGATCTGCTTGGTCAGATTGAAGTCAACCAGCCATCCATCAAATGCTTTTCCAGGTACCTTTAGGGATTCTCTTCTGTATACATCATGATTATTAGCTCCTAGCTAATAATTCTATTCCACATCATCAACACAGGTGGTTCTCGTCGTACGACTGTAATTGACCTTAGGAATTACAGTTGTACGTCATGACAGTCATGAGTCATCAGGTGACTCATTTTTACCTTTTTTTGGAACGGTTATTAAGCAAATGCCACAGTCCTTAAGCAAACGGATTGTCTACTTTGGGACTTTTGTGTTGGAAACCAGAAGTAAATGCCGATTTCTGGCAAAACTATCATAAATCACGGTCACATGACCGCAGGGCACTACACATAGCTGTAAATGTGGGCCGGTTGCTGAGCACACAAAACACAGACATGTGATTGTGAGGGGGGAGCTGATGTTGGAACTTTGAAACCAGGTTGCAAGTCCCTGTTCACCGGTGCATCGTCACTTCAAACGGCCACTAAGCCAATATTATCTGTAGTTCTGCATTCATTTCTAAAGTTCAAATTGTGGCTTTTACAACTGTAAAAAAAAAAATGATATAAACTAAATATGTAAAGTGTTATCAAATGGTTGGTCAGTTTTATTAATGAGTTCATAAATGCTATTGCTAATATAGAAATAAAATATTCAAACATTTTGAGAGATATTTATATAAGTGATGTGAATTCAAATGTAAATGCTATATGACAGGAATATGTCAGTGATGTAATAAGTGTTAATACTTTTAGAAATAATTACAATATTGTATCAGAATTGTAAAATCTAGGAGGAGGAAAAGTGAATGGGTTGGAAAAATGCAGACACCAATGATAATGAGCAAGTGAATTTTGGGCTGGAATAATTTAGCATGAAAGTACTTGGTTTAATAATCTAAAGCTATAGTCATTAGCATTCTCTGTTATTATAACATTTTTTACCCAGCCAGCTGTGACTGGAATAATTTAGGAGCTTTTAACACAGTATAAGCAAAACTTTAATAAATGCTTCTTCACTTCAGATATCAGGATTTCAAACAGGTTCATATATTTCTAACAGAAGCAGGAAATATTAAATCCATGAGGTATTATGTCAGTGCTGAAACTTTCCCAACGTGTCTTCAATGAAAGCTCTTTATTAACACAAAATAAGATTTCCTGGCAGCAGCCTGTAAGTGGGAGGAAGAAGGGAAGTAGCTTGTGTTCAATTTATCTTCGCATTCATTTCCTTATTTTGCTTTCTGTATTTAACAGATACATTTACCGTAGGCATGTGTCTGTGTGATGCCAGAGTCTTTCATTACAAGGTTTTCTTTGAAGCAGGAAATGTACAGCACCAGTTTTGAAAATAGCGTAGTTGTAACAATATGGTACCTGTATTAAATTATGCTAACAACCAATGTATGAAGTTTTTAAAACTATTGGATGTCAATCACATGAGAGCTTTGATTCACAGGTTTCACTTGCATGTCACTTTGTTGTCCAGAATTAAAATCGCCTCTGTTAAATGTGATGAAGCACAGTGTGTTTATTATATGACTGTAAAGCTTTCCCATGGATTCATAAATATGTTCCATAGATAACAAAGGTCCAGTCTAATTTTCTATTTCCCAAAATCTATGCCATGCCAGCCATGTGATGCTGAATTTCTAGCAAAAAGGAAGTCAGAATCCATAGAAATTAGGGATCTCAGCTCATGGGCTTTAAGACAATTAATAACATTTATGTACTGTAGCGCTTAAGAATGTTTTAAAAGCACTTCACAATAATGATCTAATTCAAATGGAGCAATCAGTTTCCTGTTGCATACCTGAATCACCTACAAATACAGGCAACTACTTGTAAAAGCGTCTAATCTCTCACAACGGAAAGGAAAATTTGTTTAAGCTTTGCTGCAACCCAAGTCCTAAGCATATATCAACTCTAGTTTACAAAGTGAGAACTCTGCGCAATTTATCAATATTATTCTCCTACTGCAGATTGTGTATATGCTTGAGACTGACAGTGCCTTCCTTACATCAATTTCCTCAGTGTCTCCACACAGTCCTCTCAATGAATTTTACAAAATTTATGTTTGAAAAGAATCTGTTTAATACTGGGCTGTAAGAGGTAGATAATTTCTCACTGTTCCAGAATCATAGATTGAGACTTAGTTTATTAATAAAAGACTGGCAAAAGCAACCTTTCTATCTGAGGAGAAGAAAAGTTAAGGCTTAGCAAGGAATTCTTTTAGGTCTAGGGCAGTGGTGGGATTCAACATTTTTTACTACCGGTTCTGAGGGAGTGGCTTGGTGGGCATGGCAGGGGAAGGGTACTGTAAAATCTCCATTCCCACCCCACTCCAGGGAAAGGTTCCTGCAAAATCCCCATTTCCTCCCGATCAACTGGGACTCGGGAGGCAGAGAATAGATGGGGGCGGAGCCTGTCAGAGGTGGTATTTACCAGTTCTCCGAACTACTCAAAATTTTCGCTACCAGTTCTCCAGAACTAGTCAGAACCTGCTGAATATCACCTCTGGTCTAGGGAAATGCTGTTCTTTTTCTCAAGTTACAAGCAGTGGATTCCTTAGTATAATACGGTACTGTTTTGCATACTTTTAAAGCATCAGAAATGTAAAAAGTTGCCTCAAGTCTTTTACACTGTGGTATAAACACATTTCTTTGTTTTCTCTACCTTTTGAATCCTGTTAAATGTTTTTAAAAGGAAATGACGATTTTGCATATAACAAGAGCTACTGTTTTCTTTGGCGATGTAATTCCATGTTTCATGGCATTGAAGTCTACAGCATTTGTGTATTCACAAATGCTGTATTGGAGTATACAAATTTGTATATTAACATGGGTCAGATCTCTTCTGAGTATTTAAAAATTTGGAAATAGTTTTCAATTCAGTTTTCAGTAGCTGAAACTAGTTCACTTTGGGTGCAGCTTTGCATTATGTTTTTTCACCAGCAGTCTCTACAAATGGCTGGGTGGATACTATATTGTAGGGATCCCCAACCCCTGGGCCATGACCCCTTACTGGGCCATGGCCTGTTTGGAACTGGGCCGTCTTGAGTAGCTGGCTGGCATGTGTGCGCACACAACTCAACTTGCATGAATGGCTGGCTGGTGCGCATATGCGCAGCTTGACTTGGGCAAGTGGCAGGCCGGTTCCCTTCCCCCTCGGCCAGATTGCCAAGCCATAAAGGTTGGGGACTGTTGCCTTAAGTCATAAAAAACTTTATAAAAAACAGCAATGATTCTACCTCAAGGGACCTGCTGATTTATAATCTCCCCATACTAAGCTACTGTATAAAAATGCTCATCCTAGCCTGGACATTTCAGGATAACTGACTCAGTGGTATCAAAAGCCACATTCCAGCAAGTGTAACAAATTTGCATAAAAGCAATGGAGGCCAGTTCTGTTCCATGTTCAGACCTGAATCCAGAAAATGGATCACGTAGGTCAGGGGTCCCCAACCCCCAGTCCGTGGACCAGCACCAGTCTGTGGCATGCCAGTTACAGGTCTGCACACACAAGTGAAGTCCCATTTGTGGGATGCAGGTAGCATGCAAAACCACCTTCCGGTCCACGGAAAAACCTTTCTCCGTGGAACTGGTCCCTGGTGCCCAAAAGGTTGGGGGCCACTGATCTAGGTCACTAATTTTCTCCAAGGTGGTTTGCTTCACCCACTTTTGCCAATTGTAAAATCTCCCAGTCCAAAGAGTTTGCTTCTTGCCTTGGCTGCTTCTGCTAGTGTAGCCAGCTAAATATGGAAACTAGGAATTATTTAGCTTATTATCCAGGCTGGTTATTTCCAAAAGCAGGTTTGTAGACACTTTAAAGGATGTGATAAGCCAAGACTGCGATTTTAGTCGTTGTGTGAAAGAATCCATCCCTGATTTAAATAGAAGGAAAATGAGAGCAAATAGATTGCATACACTATCATGTGGTTTGTTTTCAGTATAAAAGGATTCTAGAAACTCAGAGAATATTATTTTCTGTTAAAATGTGTAGCAATCATTAATAAAACATTGGAAAATTTTCAACAAAGCTGTTTGTATATTTCTGAGAGAGAATAAACTATTGTGTATCTAAAAGCATGTCACACATTAAATAATTCGCTGGATAAAATGCTTTCCAATTTAATGGTTTTAATTTAATCCAAAAATTAAAATAAAGGGATTATTTATATGTCCAGTTCAAGCATCCAGAGCACAGCAATTCAGAAAGCTTTCTTACCTTATGCAGTTTAAACTGAACGTTTTGCCAATAGCGGTACAAATATTTTGCAGCTGTTCAAGACAGTACAATTCCAACTTACGTCTTATTACAAAAACAAAGCAGTAAATGAGTATTTGGAAGTTTGTAGCTGTAACACCAAATATTTCCATTTGACTGAGGAACTGTGAATAAAAATTGAGCTCATTTGGTTCTTGACACTTGATACCCAGTGAGTGATTTTAATGAGGCATGAAGTGATCAGAAAAAAAGTATTCTGCACATTGTTTCATTTAAAAACTGAGTAAAGTATAATTTCTTTATTCCTTTTACAGAAGTGGTATTTAAAATGTACACACATTACACTGGCTCATAAATAAAGTTTTTCAAAAAACTAAAAATTACCATAGTTGGTACAGCTAAGAATTGTCTTCATATATTACAAAGCAGTAGGAAAAATGATGAGGCTTGGTAAAAAGTGTATGAAAGTAGCATTTTCCTCATTCATAATTAATATGAAAAACTTCAAAGAATTTCTGCACAGTATGGCAATGCCAAGCGCTACATATTTTATTCTAAACAAATGATGTTTCATTAGGAACTCCACCAAATCTGAGGTCCAACATTATTTTATTTGTCTAAGATGAAATGTCCTATTATGTACAAAAAGAGTCACTTTTCAATTTGTCACAATCTGTTAAAAACAATGATCTATTGCCTATAAGTAGGAAAGTTCTCATCATGGTTTTTCAAGGTCAGCCATAAGTATGAGTAATAAAGAAATACGATGAAGAGACAGTATTTGTAGGATTAAATTTGGAAAAGTCCTTTTTTTATAAACATAATGCATACAATATGTAGCATCTCTTTGAAAAAAGTCCTAAGACAATATACCCTAACACACAAATACTCTTCTTCCTACTGTCTAAGAAACATAAATGGATGGTCTCACAATGAACATTAACTTCCTTTCGAATTCATATGGGTTAAATGATAGCATCTATGTACAAAAGCAGAAGCTTTCTTAGAGAAAATTAACCTTATATTATCTGTACACCTGAGCCTGTACTTATAAGAAAAGTGTGAACGACAGCAATGTCTAATAAAATTAACAGAAAAGATTTTTGCATAGCAGGGTGAGGTTAAACCCAAGGGAAGCTTATCCATAATCAGATAAATTCCAGATCATTGAAGGGCAAAAATTCTGAATTAGTGCAAAATCTAGTTAAAATAGGTGTAATAGTCAGAAACCAACTGCTGCTGAAGAAGACTTTTATTATAGTCGATTAAAAACAAATAGAATCACACTTTTGGGGCCGCTTTGTCCCTCCTTTCCCTTTCCCACATTTCCCTTCTGTACTCTGAGGATCTTACACATAAGAACAAACCTCACAAACATGTTAGTGAACATTCAAACAACACCTACATATGTGGAGAGAACAATGATCTCCATTTATTTGTTTCATATACATCCATGTTTTGAATTTTTTTTTAATACAAAAAGAAAAAAAAAGTTAGAATCTGACAAATGTTTACAAACAAGATACCTTCAAATAGATTTTACTCAGATCAGTCCGTTGCAGAGTAAATGATATTCTACTGTTTATATTCAAGGCAACAAAGTCTGTAGTCCATGACCACTTCGCCCAACTTTAATGCAAGCTTAATTGGTTTCCTCTACCGCGAACGATAAACTCAATGTTGATTCCCAGTTGGTTTGTGCACATGTGTACATAGCAGCTCCTTTCATAGAAAGAAAAGACATCTAGAGGTCATCTTGTACTTTTACCTACAGGAATCATGGTAAGATACAGAATGGGTAACATACAACCAGGGCTGGATTTATAAGGGGTGGGGGGGGGGGGGGATGGGGAGAAATAATCAGCTGACAAATGAGGGCAGCAATAAAAAAGCGTCCTTTTGCAACAATAAATAAATACAGTCTAAAGTTCTCTGTGTGGAATTTATAAACCAGCTTCTTCACTGAAGAACAGATGTGGCATTTCCATGGAGTCAGAACGTCACCCCATTTTACGGTTATCTTGTTTTCTCTTGCTTGTTTTCTTTCCTGTCCTTCAGCAAAATGTTTCCCTATTTCTGCCATAACAGCACAATTCAATCTTGACAAGAAAACGATGCTGCTGATTTTCATTTTTTCGTCCTTTGGACAAAATTAGCCAAGAATATAAATCTGATGTGACTGATAAAAACACAGTTTACATCAAGACTTGTCAGGATACCCTGACTAAAAACCTCTGGCTCCCAATTAAAAAAAAAAAAAAATTCAGGCAACCAGATTCTTGCGGTT